CCTGCTGGCTCTGGGCCATCCCTGCAGATTCTGGGCCTGGGGTCTTCAGGTCATAGAAGGCCCAGCAGGAGCACTTCTCTCGTTCAGGAGCGCTGTTCTCTGGAAGCTTCTCTGGAGGGCGGTGAGCTGTGGACTTGCCTACCTCCAGGGGGTTGGCTGCAGGCACCTGCAGAATGAGCTGCTGGGCACCGAGGGCAGAGCCGAGGACAGAAGCCTCCCCTGGCCCAGAGTGGGTCCTATGCCCTGCAGGATGCCTGGCCACTGCCTCTGCATGGTGTCCATTCCCATCACTTGCCGGGTGGCCACGGTCACCAAGAATGTCACGGCTCCGTAGCTTCCAAGAAATGAAAGAGCAAGGTTGAATTGTGTCCCCCAGAAGATACGCTGGGTCTTAACCTGGAACCGCGAAGGGGGGTTAGCCTAGAAATGAGGTCAGGGCAGGCGTGACTAGTTAGATCAGGACTAGGGCAGGCCCTCCATCCAGCAGGCTGATGTCCTCACGCGGACAGAGAGGATGGCGGGGCGGGGCAGATGCCGCGTGACCTTGGAGGCAGAGACTGGAGCCGGGTGTCTACAAGCCAAGGAAGCCCAAGGCTTGCTGCCCACCACCATGAGCCAGGGAGGGGCCAGGAAGAATTCTACCCTACGATTTCAGAGGGAGCGCGGCTGTGCCAACTCAGTGGCTCGGACTTGTGGACTCGGGAAGGGTGAAAGCATCAGTCTCTGCTGCTCTAAGCCAGCCGGCACGCAGTGTTTCAGGGCAGCAGCCCCGGGACGCGGACCAGCGGTGAGCACGCCACGCCTCCTCCTCGCCTCTGCTCAGAAAACACCCTGCTCTGGTCACACGTCTACACGAGACCAGGTCACGTGGCCCATTCAACTCCAAAGATGTTCGTAATCGCCCAGATGTTTAGCCCCGGTGTAGACTAAACAACTGAGGCTTGGCCAGGCCCGTTCTGATTAAATCCTCACGTCTTTGACACCTCCGTCACCGCTGCGGGCCGGCATTGCCCGTGAAGAAGCCCACGTCCCTCGTCGAGCTCAGAGCAGCAGAGCGGCCAGAGAGAGCAATTGCTCGGTACCTGTCTCCATCTCGGCCTCCTGAGGCCGTGTCCCTGTCCTGTTTCCCCCTGTGGCCGCTCATGGCATGGTTGGCAGTGGAGCCCTGGTGGCAGGTGACATTGTTCCAATTCTTTGGAACAAATCTGGTGGGCGTCTTCCACGTTGTCTGTGTGTCCCCAACAGTTAGGTAGCGAGAAAGCCCAGCAAAAGACACGGGCTCCCCTACCTCCCGTGACCTCAAACCTGGACAAATCAATATGTCCGTTTGGCTCTTCTGAAACTGGCGGGTAGATCAACTCTAATTCTGACTTTAGCTGACTGGTTTACGTGACAGACAGACCTGACTTCAGGGAGACCGGTCAGCAGACACCGCTGGTAGGGACGACCAGGGCGTGCTGGGCAGCTGGTGGTCACGTGTGCTCAGGCCCAGGCTGGCTGAGGCCAGATGTGGGTCGTGGTGTCAAGACCTGTTGGGAGTGCAGTCTCTCTCTCTTGCTCATGGAAGAAAAAATAAACTTTTTAAATAAATATTAAGGACAAGATCTGGGTTTCTGTTCCCCTTTAACTTAAATGAAGCTTACTGTTCCTTAAAGCCACTTCCACTTAAAACATCGAAGCGTGGATTCCTTCCATCCCTTCTGCTGCTGTCAATACATAGATGGCGAGGGACCACAGATGCGGAATGGCTATGTCGCTGGACTCCCTGCAAATCACCTGGGAGGTGATTTCTTGCTGCCTCTCTGCCTCTCTCTGTCTCTCTGGCAAGTGCTCACACCCTATAGCAAAAAGCTCTCAAAAAAAAAAAAAAAAAACAAAAAAAAAGGGTCATT